AAAAAAGATGTGGTACATATATACAATGGAATATTACTCAGCAACCAAAAAAGAGAAACACATGTCTTTTGCAGCAACTTGGATGGAGTTGGAAAAGATCATGTTTAGTGAGATAAGCCAGAAAGAGAAAGAAAAATACCAGATGATTTCACTCATAGCACGAGTATAATGTACGAGGAGAGAAAATAACAAGAATAATGAACAACCATATACCAGAGACATTTTGCGGGGGTGGAGTGGGGAATGGGATCAAAAACAGGGGAGTTGGGGAGGAAAATGCACGGGATTATGGTGATGGCACACGGGTGACTTGGTGATGGGAAACCCACAGGGATTACAATTGAGATGGGAAAAAAAAATGTACAAAATGATGTAAAAATAAACTTTTGTAAAATAAAATAAAAAAAAACAAGCACTGAAATAGAGGTAATACCCACAAACTTCTAAGTTTTAAAGGTAAGAAAGAACATGGCAGGTATAGGAACTTAGAGCTGGAATGAAGAATGTGAATGGAAAAGTGGTATTAAGCAATACTGAAAATACAGATAAGTGCTTCTTAGGAATTAACAGATGTTATACAATTGATGCTTTACTCACAGACAATCAGAAAAATTTAAATATGAACTAGATATGACAATGGTATTGTGATTATATAGGAAAAACTCATGTTTTTTAGAACTATGTATTGAAATATCTAGCAATGAAATGTCACAATTTCTATAATTTAAGTATATTTCAAAAACTAGACAAAATATTGAAAAACATAAATAACTGCTAAATCCAGGTGATGAGATAAAGGTATTTATCATATTATTTCTATTTTTCAATGTTTGAATTACTTAGTAATTAAAAGTCAAGAAAAAATTAGTTTGTAAAGACCTTTATATGAAGTAATGTGCTGGAGTTTCATGATCATTTTTAAATAGGGATAAGTTGAAGAGAAAACTAGGAATAGTCAACAATTATCTTACCATATCCTGCCATAGATGCGCCATTCTCAACATCCACTGTATTCTTATTTTCCTCTGCCAGAGCTTTAACATATCTTTTGCTTAAATCAAGTATTTGTTCACGTAACTTGACACTGCTTTGATGTCTCGGTTGTTGAAAAGTATAGTGCAGTAACATCAGTCCCCAAAGGAGTCCAAATACAAGCAACAATAAACTCAATTTCTGGGACATATTTTTTCTTGAAATTGTAAAAATCATTCTGATGAAACAAACAGACTCAATTGAAAAGTGGCAAGCCACTAAGCAATCAAGATGTGAAAGAAAAAAGAAAAAAATCTCTTCTAATATTATATATTCATCTTCAGTAAGGTTGCCCCCAACTCTTAATTAACTCTGTAAAATAGAAAAGAAAAAAGTCAGTCTTAATCTTATTAGTAACAGAATAAACAATGAAAGATTTAGGAATATATTCTATAGTTTTGGTTTAGAACTGTATCATTTTTTTTTTAAAGATTTATTTATTTGTGCATACAGAACTGGGGTACAGGCCAGAGGCTCAGGGGCAGTGAGAGGCTTCACCAGAGACAGAGTGGGGAGCAGAACAGGCAGATCGACGAAGTACACTGCTGAGGGGAGCAGCGGGCGGGTCAGGAGAGGTCTGCCACGCCATGTGGCCACCTCCAGGGCAGGCGGGAATCGAACTCATGCGGAAGTGGCTCCAGATTCTCAGTGCTGTGCTTTAACCCGCTGCGCCACCAGAGAGGGCCAGAACTGTATCATTTTTGACAACTTTCTCTATCACTAAGCATGCTTCCAGGCCTCTTATCAGTGTAATTTGCATAATTCTCAGATTTAAATTAAATAAATGTCAATTGTTGAGAATACCTGAAAAAAAAAATGCTACCACAGTTATAAAACTCAAAGAATGACTCCCTGTCATTTGTAACTAAAACTGTGACTATATAATAAGATTTACAGATCTCCATCAACATTAGGTCCATCAACCCAAAAACCTAAGATTGTCCTCCACCTCCTCCTTCAAAAAATTAAAAAATTAAGTTAAAAAGATAGATGCCAAAATTAAAGTTAGAAATGAGGAACGGTACTCCCTTCCCATTGTGGCTTCAGGTGATCTCTGAAAATAGTTCACTACTCCTTGATCCAAAAAACCCTACAAAGTCATACAAACCAAGAGGTTCAAACTTTGGCTTCACTTTAACAACAGAGTGGGGAACAGAACAGGCAGATCTACTAAGATACACTGTTGAGGGCAGCAGTGTATCTTAGTATGTGAGACAGGAGAGGTCTGCTGTGCCATATGGGTCAGCTCCCTGGCTGAGGATGGAACTCAGACCATGGAGATGATAATGCTGAGACTTAACCCCTAGGTCACAAAGAAGGCCCAAAGGCCTAAAATTAAATCCAGCATTTCCCAGGGTGAGGAATCCAAAGATCTAAACCACACACTTAAAATAAAGAGCCCCTTATTTCTCTGTGTGTGTGTGCATGCATTTTTATTTTCTCCATTACAATAGTACATTTCTATTTGATGTGATATGGTAGATTATTTTTTTGGTCTGGGAATGTTCAAAGATTTTTCTGAATAAATTAATGGTAATAATATCCCTGACCCCAAAATTAACCTACCGTAAAATCATACCAACTAGGAACGTTCTACTTTCAATAGTAGGGAAAACCTGCACTACCTGACTATACCTGTCAGAAAAAAGGCCTTCATAACTTTGATATGAAGTAGAATGTTTCTGTTCACCACTACCTCCAACCCCCAACAAAACTAAAGCAGTCCACCTCAGAAGGAAATCAGTAACTTTTTGGAGAGACTACTGTGACAAGAAATTTATAGGCGTTGTAACTTGTTTGTGTTTGTTATACATTTTCCTGTAGTGATAAAAAAATAAACACTTAACATGACATGGATTTGTTAGGAGTCACAAAAAGGTGTGGTTAATCCATTCTATATTAGGGAACTACAAAAGGACACCAAGGAATAAAATAGAATTATCAGAAAGAAAGGACACCTTGGAGCCTCTGCTAAGTTAAAATGCTGTCTGATAGCCAGTTTATGATTGACAAAGGACTAAGCCCTTCAAAAGTCCACGAGGATTCTCCCAAAGCAAAACATACTGACTACAATTTTTAAAAGGATACAATTCTACTTTTGGTCTCTTCTCAGGATAGCTTCATATAAATATCACCTAGTGAATTTTTTAAAAATCCAAATGCCG